AATATCACCAAAAAAAATACAAGCTATGATCATTAAAAATTAATCAAAAAATTACTAAACACAAATAACGTATTTAGAGAGGATAATACAGTAATTTTAGAATTTCAATTTAAACTTGTTTTGAGATTGCAAATAAATCCGAGTTATTTCATGCAATTTCAAGTAAGTAAGCCTATCCATTTTAATCTATTTCAGTTGTTATTATCATGCGTCGCGGTAAAATAAACAATAGAAAAAAATTCACCCAGATCAAAAATATCTACGTACATAAATCATTAGGGCAATTAAAATGTCATAATAAATAACAATCCCGCAACGGGTACCGCACGGAGATATAACTGCCGATGTCGCAAAACACATGCGCAAAGCGATCACGTGGCTCTGGAAGGCCAATCAATAAAATAATCGATCCGCTCGCGCATGTCAGGCCCGTGCCTACTCCGCGCGAGAACCGGGCAGCCAATAACGTTCGGCGCCCTTGCGTCACATCACCACTTTTGAAATGATCGAAATCAATTGGTGCGTGATGACGTGACGGGCCCTAGCACCGCGTTGATAAAGGGGCGTCGACGAAACTTTTCATCTTATCGCTTTTCCGCCGTGAAACACATATCACAAACCGCTTATTAGATAAACCGCAAAACCACGTTGACGACCGCCGCTTACTCCGCACTCTGATTTGATTCCGATTTTTCTGTAAATAATTACTATTGTGAAAAGTTTGTTAAAGTGTTGTTTTTTTAATTGTGGATAATATTAAAGTCTTTTTTTTCAAATATAAAAGTGACTCATCCTTTGGTGCCGCGCGATCCTTTCTCTCGCATCGCGTTCGTGAACATATATTTTTGGTCCTTCGAGCCGGATCTCTCGTTGAGCCGGCACCCGCAAGTTCGCGAACGTGAGTTCCATCGGTGCGTGAAGTGAGTGTCCGCCAGCATCCAGCAAACTATCGAAGATGGATCTGCCCACGCTGATTGACTGTCAGCGTGAAGTCCAAGTTCGCATCGCACGCTCAGTAGAGTATCTCAGAAAGCTGGGGAACGCCAACATCACCGCCAGCGCCGTCACCACTCGCACCAGGATCATTGACCAGTTGTGGTCGAAATTTGAGACGCAGCATGATCTCATCCGCTCAGGTCTGAAAGATAAATTCAATGAAAGCGATTATGTCAAATCAGGATTGCATGAGGATACCGAAAACCTCTATGTGGCACAACGGAGCTTGCTGGATGGCTACGCCGAGCAATTCCAGGAGTCTCCTCCGTCGCCCGTTCGCCGGAATACCGAGGGCGCTTCAAGGTCCTCGTTGCCGCGTATCAAGGTGCCGCTGTTCTCTGGCAACTACGCAGATTGGCCATCCTTCCGAGACCTTTTCCTCTCCGTCATCGGAGACAACACGTCGATCTCAAACATCGAGCGTCTTCACCATCTTCGTTCGAGCGTGACCGGACAAGCTGAAAAATTAATACGATCATTACCTGTCACCGGCGACAATTACGATCGCGCTTGGACAATCTTGAGCAAACATTATGAGAACAAGAGAGAACTTATCCGCTCCAACTTTGCCACATTCGTCAACGTGTCAAAGATGAAGGGAGATACCGCCGATGAGTTGAGTCGCATCCATAACGCCGCCACCACCGTCGTCAACGCGCAGGAGAGCATCGGTCGTCCGATCGACACGCACGGGATGGACCTCTTCAATTACCTCGTCACGGAGCTCTTCGACGCAACCACTCGCCTCGAATGGGAGTCATCCACATCAGGATCCGCCGAACCACCATCGCTCGAAACACTTCTCGATTTCATTAGCCGACGGATTCTGACACTCAACGCTGTACGACCGAAAGCGATCAACAAACACTCAGGCGAAGCACGAGCGGCCAAATCTCACGTCACCAAGCACGGACCGGCATCTCCACAATGTGCACTGTGCCGGGAGAAACACACGCTCATGGCCTGCCGTGAGTTCAAGGCCAAGTCCTCTGCGGAACGAAAGACATTCGTGGAGACGAACAAGCTATGTTACAATTGCCTGGGGAACCACTTTCTCTCACGATGTCAATCGAAGAAAAACTGCTTCACTTGCAACGCACGTCACCACACAATGTTGCACGAGGCACACACCGCGTCTCCGGCCTCCGAGGTCAACAGGTCTGCCGCCGCATCAGCTTCCTCACTTGCCACGACACTAGCCACTACCCATCAGAGCGAGGATCGAAAGGCCATCCTCCTAGCAACGGCACGCGTCAACATAGCTGACAGGTATGGATCTCCTCACGCAGTGCGAGCTCTACTCGATCAGGGTTCTGAGCTGTCCATCATCTCCGAAACGGTGGCTCAACGATTACGACTACCTCGAGTTCACACAGGACTGTCCATCTTCGGGGTTGGAGGAGCCCGTCCAGGGCCAACCCGCGGCAAGGTCACGCTGAATATATCTTCAGACGTGACCAACGCCAAGCTCTCCGTGGTGGCATACGTTCTGCCGCGCCTCCTGCTGACGCAAGGTCCCGCATCAAGGACCAACCAACGTTGGCCTCACATTCAAGGCCTCCAGCTGGCCGACCCAACCTTCCAGGACGACGACCCCGCGGAGTTACTCCTGGGAGCGGAGGTCTGCTCGTTTATTATCGAGGCGGGCGTACGCAAGGGCGGTCCAGAGATGCCGATCGCCCAGAAGACCATGCTTGGTTGGATTCTCTCCGGGGGTCAGATGCAACAGCAACCGAGGATCACCGCCGCACGTTCCGCTGCACCGCTGATTATGACCTCGCTGATCTGGTGCGTCGATTCTGGGAACAGGAACAGGAGCCCACCGCTGTCGCATCCCTCACTCCCGACGAACAAAGATGTGAGGAGCTCTTTGTGCGCAGTCACACCCGCACTGCCGCTGGGAGATATGTGTGAGGTTGCCATTTTCCTCACCGCCAACAGCACTGGAGGAGACTCGCAGACCAGCGGAACGTCTCCTGACAGCCATGGAGCGACGCTGCGTCCAGGATCCTCGCTTCGGTGACCTCTACCGCAGCTTCATGCGGGAATACGAAGACCTGCGACACATGACGATGCTAAACACTGCGGTAATTGATCGTCAAGACAAGTGTTACTTACCACATCATGGGGTCTTCAAGGATCCAGCACCACCACCAAGTTGAGGGTCGTCTTCAACGGATCGCAGCGAACGCGAGCAGGAAGCGCTGAACACGCATCTCCTCACTGGTGCAAACCTGCTTCCGACACTCGCCGACGTGCTGCTCCGATGGCGTCAACACCGCTACGTCCTCGTCGCCGACATAGAAAAGATGTACCGGCAGATTCTCGTGCATCCAGACGATTGTCGCTTCCAGACGATCCTGTGGCGGCATTCTCCGGACGATGAAGTGCAGGAATACCAGTTGAGAACGGTCACTTACGGTCTCGGTTGCGCTCCATTCCTCGCCATACGGACTCTTCACCAACTAGCTGAGGATGAAGAGGAGCATTTTCCTCGAGGCGCTGTGGCCTTGCGACGGGATTGCTACGTCGATGACGTCGTCACCGGAGCAACCACCCTCGAGGGAGCAATCGTCCTCCAGACGGAACTACGCAACCTCTGTAAGGCGGGTGGATTTCCGTTGAAAAAGTGGGCAGCCAACAATGAGGAGATACTGACAGGCGTCCCGCAGGATCATCGCATGCAACAATCGCAGCACTCATGGAATGGGGAGAGCCACTCAACGCTAGGACTTCGATGGCATCCTCAAGACGATCAGTTCTCCTTCGTGCTGCGTCCACCGTCTATAAAGGAATACACGAAGAGACATGTCCTCTCTGAAACCGCACGTCTCTTCGATCCAATGGGTTGGCTCGCTCCAGTCGTCATCCGCGCGAAGATCCTCATCCAGACTACGTGGCTTCAGGGATTGGATTGGGATGCCCCACTGCCGACAGCCGACGCTCATCGTTGGCAGCAACTGCTGGGTGACCTCCATCTCCTCGACCGCCTGAGAATACCTCGCTGGCTAGGCACTGGACGTGGAGACTCATCGCTGCAACTCCATGGTTTCGCCGATGCATCCGAACGAGGGTACGCCGCAGCCGTATACCTCCGCATCGCTGAAAAAGAGGGAACGTCAGTGAAGCTGCTAATGGCCAAGAGCAAGGTGGCACCTGTCAAGCAAGTGACCTTGCCAAGACTCGAGCTTTGCGCCGCCGCCTTACTCACCACGTTGACACAGCATGTTCAAACCACGCTCGACTTGACAGACACACCAACTCATCTGTGGTCTGACTCGAAGGTCACGCTTCAGTGGATCCAAGGACACGCCTCGCGGTGGAAGACCTTCGTTGCAATCGGGTGTCCCACATCCAAACCCTGTTGCCAAATGCACTCTGGAGACACGTGGCGGGTCAAGACAACCCTGCGGATTGTGCATCAAGGGGCGTTACTCCGTCGGAACTTACAAATCACGCATTATGGTGGACGGGACCTACCTGGTTGCTGGAGGAAGAGACTGCATGGCCAATCGCCGAGATGAACACCCAGGAGGACGACCTTTCTGAGAGACGAGCCGTTAGCCTACTGACCAAGAGCCTGGTCGTCATGGAACCTGAGCTCCTTCTTCGCTTCTCGTCGTTGCACCGCTTGTTACGAGTCACAGCATGGTGTCGACGCTGGCTTCGCACGGCAGAACCAACTAACACACCTGGACGGCCACTGACCTCGGACGAGTTGGAAGTAGCTCTGTCGCACTGGTTACGAGGAGTACAAGCACTTCACTTCCCTGACGAGGTCACCGCCATCTCCGCAGGTCGCACTGTTGCAACACGCAGTCCGTTGGCCAAATTGACTCCATACATTGACGCATAAGGCGTGTTAAGAGTGGGAGGACGTCTGAAGAATTCACTCTTGCCACAGGACGAGAGACACCCAATGATCGTCCCAGCAACCTCATGGCTGACTCGACTGCTAATCGATTCTTGTCATCGCCGGACCTTGCACGGAGGAGTGCAACTGACTCTGGGATTGCTTCGACAGCGGTTCTGGGTGCTTCGAGGACGTTCAGCGGTGAAGCAGCGATTACATCGCTGTGTCACCTGCACAAGGTGGCGAGCGACAACACCACAACCACCTATGGGCAATCTGCCCCACAGCCGGGTCACTCCAACACGGCCATTCCTCCGCACTGGACTGGACTACGCGGGGCCAATCCTCATCCGGACCAGCAAGGGCCGCGGTCACCGGGCCTACAAGGGCTATATTGCGGTCTTCATCTGCTTCTGGTCGAAGGCCATCCATCTAGAGCTCGTCTCAGATTACTCGTCGGAAGCCTTCATCGCCGCTCTTCGCCGATTTGTCTCCCGACGGGGTCTCTGCACCGACATCTTCAGCGACTGCGGCACGACCTTCGTTGGAGCTGACCGCACCCTACGAGAGCTCTTCATTGCGGCATCTCCGGAGGGTCGAGGCGTCGCACGCGCAGCTGCCAAGGAGGGTATCCGCTGGCACTTCAATCCGCCGGCGGCCCCGCACTTCGGTGGATTATGGGAGGCCGCTGTAAAATCTGCCAAGTATCACCTGCGGAGGGTGATAGGCGAAACCACCCTCACCTTCGAGGAATTAAATACACTCCTCACTCAAATTGAAGCATGTCTCAATTCTCGACCGTTGCAGGCACTCTCCGACGATCCAGACGATGTTTCAGCGCTCACTCCCGGACACTTCCTGATCGGGGCACCTCTTCTCGCCATCCCTGAGCCGCTGCAGGAAGACGAACCTGGTTCCTCGAGATCACGATGGCAACATCTACAACAAATGAGAGATCACTTCTGGGGGAGGTGGTCGAAGGAGTACATCCACGGACTCACCTCTCGTCCAAAGTGGCTGAAGAATGAGACGGCACCCCACATCGGAGCTCTCTGCCTGGTGCGCTCCGAGATCTCTCCTCCAAGTCGATGGCCGCTTGCCCGGATCACGAAGCTGCATCACGGAGACGACGGCGTGGTGCGCGTGGTCACCATCAAGACCGCGTCTTCCGAGTTCATGCGTCCGCTCGTCAAGATCGTCCTGCTTCCCGGTGTTGAAGCAGACACGACGATTACCGATGCGTGAAAGATACGCGACGCACACCACACACGATACACACAATTATACACACTTCCGGTCACATCTTTCACACTTTACACAATACACAATTCACACACGATTCAAACACTACACGCCATTTGTACACCTAACGGAGCATTAATTATGCCATCATAATGCATCATTGTCTTACGCGACCACTCTCACTCGCGGTATTCACCAAACACGTGGCGGATATTTCACAGCTGATCGAGTCTAGCGCGACACGCGATCACCACGTGCGTCGTGACGCGCAGCCGCACCGCCACAATCACCGACCAATAAAGCGCGGCCCGCGGCCAGCAATCATCAACGAATTGTTTCGTCACAACGTAACAAGGCGGGCGGGATGTTTGAGATTGCAAATAAATCCGAGTTATTTCATGCAATTTCAAGTGAGTAAGCCTATCCATTTTAATCTATTTCAGTTGTTGTTATCATGCGTCGCGGTAAAATAAACAATAGAGAAAAAATTCACCCAGATCAAAAATATCTACGTACATAAATCATTAGGGCAATTAAAATGTCATAATAAATAATATATGTGTATATATGTATATAATATATATGTATGTATATAATAATATATGTATATAACAATATATATATGTGTGTGTATGTGTATGAACAGGCCTATCTATAATAATTATAATTGATTACAAAGTAAATAATTCTTTGTAATGATTTATATAAAAGTATTTTAGAGATTGAATACATAATAATGCTATTATTATCAAAACACACAGAGCAGTAGAGTTAGATAAGAATAAATCATATAAATCATTTATTTATTACAAAAAATTATCTACTAAAACTTTGTAATCATTATATTCATAAAAGATTTTTATATATTATTAGATTATAAATTTAATTACTTTTGTAATGTACAATATTTTTAAAAAATATTATATACGTGTACATATATAAAATAATGCAATGTAGAAAAGAGAGAAGAGACAGATAGATCGATAGATAGATAGATAGATAGATAGGTTGATCGATAGATGATAGATAGTTCGATAGATAGATTGCTAAATAAATCAATATGTATGTGTATATATTATATATATATGGAGCATTCCACGTGAAAAGGGCCCACCTAAAAATAAACTTTTTAGGATTTTTTAAATAATCGTGGAGACTTGTTAGGGTACATATTGTATGAGGTTAAAGCAAAAAAAAATAAGGATTATATGCCTCATATCCAAGATATCGAAGGTAAAATGTTTTAAGTAATTTTTCTTTCTTTGACATTTATAGCTAAAATTATAATATATATTGAATTTTTATAGACATGATTTTTTAGATTTTTCCCGTACTTTCAGATAAAAAAGTTAATTTTAGTGAAAATTTTTTATTACCATAAAAAAAATCATTTTTTTAGTTTGAAGTAAATAAACGGAAAATTATATCCACTTTTAAAAATCTAGAAAAATTCTCAAAAATACTTCCATATATGTAGAATATGATGCCATAAAGGAAATTTTGGGATCGCAATGGGATCTACTCGAAAACGAATATTTTTTTCAAACAAAATAGGAGTTTTAGACAAATTTCAACTAAAAACTCAATGATGTCAAATTTTTAATTAATCTAATTATTTCATACTACATAAATAATATATTTTTAACAAACAGCTATAAAAAAATAATTTTGAAATTTTTTTTATATTTGTTTTTATTTTTTATATTTTTTATATTTTAACATTTTTTAAACTTATTATTTCTTCTTTTTTTGAGGAAATAAATCTTCTTTTTCATCAAAACTAAATTCTTTTAAAATTAAATGATCGTTTGCAGGAATAATTGTATGATATTTTAAGGTACCTGGAATTGTTTTTGCTAAGGTAAATCTTGGCTCCAAAATCTTATTTAATTTATTATGGTTTGTTTTTGAACTGTATAAAATGGTTGTTTCCTTTAGATTAATTTTTGCCCACATGTATAAATACAGTATAAATACATGTATAAATACATGTGGGCAAAAAATAATCTAAAGGAAACAACCATTTTATACAGTTCAAAAACAAACCATAATAAATTAAATAAGATTTTGGAGCCAAGATTTACCTTAGCAAAAACAATTCCAGGTACCTTAAAATATCATACAATTATTCCTGCAACCGATCATTTAATTTTAAAAGAATTTAGTTTTGATGAAAAAGAAGATTTATTTCCCCAAAAAAGAAGAAATAATAAGTTTAAAAAATGTTAAAATATAAAAAATATAAAAAATAAAAACAAATATAAAAAAAATTTTAAATTATTTTTTTATAGCTGTTTGTTAAAAATATATTATTCATGCAGTATGAAATAATTAGATTAATTAAAAATTTGACATCATTGAGTTTTTAGTTGAAATTTGTCTGAAACTCCTATTTTGTTTGAAAAAAAATATTCGTTTTCGAGTAGATCCCATTGCGATCCCAAATTTCCTTTATGGCATCATATTCTACATATATTGAAGTATTTTTGAGAATTTTTCTAGATTTTTAAAAGTGGATATAATTTTCCGTTTATTTACTTCAAACTAAAAAATGATTTTTTTTATAGTAATAAAAAATTTTCACTAAAATTAACTTTTTCATCTGAAAGTACGGGAAAAATCTTAAAAAATCATGTCTATAAAAATTCAATATATATTATAATTTTAGCTATAAATGTCAAAGAAAGAAAATTACTTAAAACATTCTACCTTCGATATCTTGGATATGAGGCATATAATCCTTATTTTTTTGCTTTAACCTCATACAATATATACCCTAACAAGTCTCCACGATTATTTATAAAATCCTAAAAAGTTTATTTTTAGGTGGGCCCTTTTCACGTGGAATGCTCCATATATATATATATATATATATATATATATATATATATATAGATAGATAGATAGATAGATAGGGAGATCGATAGATAGTTCAATAGACAAATACCTAAATAGATAGATTGATAGATAGATATGTATATATATATATATCAATCTATCTATTTAGGTATTTGTCTATTGAACTATCTATCGACCTCCCTATCGATCTATCTATCTATCTATCTATCTATCTGTCTCCGTTTCTCAGTCTCTTTGTATTCCTCTCTGTCTTTCTGTCTCTTCTCTCTCAACATGCACACGTAAAAATAAAAATTTTGTATGATTATAATTGATTATAAAGTTTTAGTAGATAATTCTTTGTAATAAATATGTGACGACCCGTTTTGTCGTCACTAGAAGCCGCGCAAGCACGAGGCCGACCGTCCGCCCGCGCTCATATAAACGGCCCCTGTCGGGGCCACCACACATCGAACACGTGGGAATTTGCCTTTTCGCCCCACCCGACCGGACCGCCCCACTCCAAGTTAGTTGGAGGGGGCTGACCGACGGGTATATAAAGCGGCGCAGCCGAGACTTCGACACCAGTCCCGTCCTGGTCTCTTGAGCGTACTCAAGGACCACTCCTCACCTCCGAACATCACCCCGGCCGACGAGCGTTCTCGTCGGGTAGGCCAAGCGTCCTCGGTCACCGGATCCTCTCCGAACAGCACCCCGGTCGACGAGCGTTCTCGTCGGGCAGGCCGAGCATTCTCGGTCTCCGGATCCTCTCCGAACATCACCCCGGTCGACGAGCGTTCTCGTCGGGCAGGCCGAGCGTCCTCGGTCACCGGATCCTCTCCGAACATCACCCCGGCCGACGAGCGTTCTCGTCGGGTAGGCCGAGCGTCCTCGGTCACCGGATCCTCTCCGAACAGCACCCCGGTCGACGAGCGTTCTCGTCGGGCAGGCCGAGCATTCTCGGTCTCCGGATCCTCGCCGAACATCACCCCGGCCGACGAGCGTTCTCGTCGGGCAGGCCGAGCGTCCTCGGTCACCGGATCCTCTCCGAACAGCACCCCGGTCGACGAGCGTTCTCGTCGGGCAGGCCGAGCGTCCTCGGTCACCGGATCCTCTCCGAACAACACCCCGGTCGACGAGCGTTCTCGTCGGGCAGGCCGAGCATTCTCGGTCTCCGGATCCTCTCCGAACATCACCCCGGTCGACGAGCGTTCTCGTCGGGTAGGCCGAGCGTCCTCGGTCACCGGATCCTCTCCGAACAGCACCCCGGTCGACGAGCGTTCTCGTCGGGCAGGCCGAGCATTCTCGGTCTCCGGATCCTCTCCGAACATCGCCCCGGTCGACGAGCGTTCTCGTCGGGTAGGCCGAGCGTCCTCGGGCACCGGATCCACTCCAAACATCACCCCGGCCGACGAGCGTTCTCGTCGGGAAGGCCGAGTTTCCTCGGTCACCGGATCCTCCGAGAGCCACCGACATCTTGCGGAGCTCGCCCTTCTCAGGGCGCCCGAATCCAAGGCGGTTTACGGAGCTCGCCCTTTTTAGGGCGCTCGTATCCACGCCGCGTTGGGTAAATTTCGTCCGCCACGCTACTATCTTAGTTATAAGTCGTGTCCGCGTCCGTATGATTTGGTCGCGTTTCGTCCGTCGCGTTATTATTTGTAAACCTTTAGTTATAAGTCGTGCCCGCGTCCGTATGATTTGGTCGCGTTTCGTCCGTCGCGTTATCATTTGTAAACCTTAGTTATAAGACGTGTCCGCGTCCGTATGATTTGGTCGCGTTTCGTCCGTCGCGTTATTATTTGTAAACCTTTAGTTATAAGTCGTGCCCGCGTCCGTATGATTTGGTCGCGTTTCGTCCGTCGCGTTATCATTTGTAAACCTTAGTTATAAGACGTGTCCGCGTCCGTATGATTTGGTCGCGTTTCGTCCGTCGCGTTATTATTTGTAAACCTTTAGTTATAAGTCGTGCCCGCGTCCGTATGATTTGGTCGCGTTTCGTCCGTCGCGTTATCATTTGTAAACCTTAGTTATAAGACGTGTCCGCGTCCGTATGATTTGGTCGCGTTTCGTCCGTCGCGTTATCATTTGTAAACCTTAGTTCCAAGGCGTGTCCATGTCCGTATGACTTGGTCACGCTTCGTCCGTTGCATTCCTTGTATTCCTTA